CGATGTAGTTTGGTAACAAACACCGTGACACGAGTTTTATATATTAGATAAAAATAAACATATAGGTGGAGTAAAGTCAGCCGGCTGTTTCAAAATCCTGATTATCAGTTATATGGGGATAACGCAAGTTTTACCCGATCGCCAGCACATCGGCTGATATTTGTGAGGACTAAGGAAGTATTGACCCGATTCAGCCCATTTTGACAGAAGCGTATATTATTATCAAAGAAATATTTTCCTGAATTTCAATAACATATCGCTCAGATTGATCGATATTTTCGTGCAAAAATTAGCCGTACGCACTGGGGTCCACATATTCGGTATGTGGGGCTTGGACAGTTATGGTACGATTTTGACAACCTTTAAACTCGAGATGGCATTGATAAGCCATGTTCGTCTATATAGTCCCTTAGCTTTAAGCTATCGACTTGAAATTATGCACCTGTCCTTTCCTCACTAAGAGCTGCTCATTTGTCGGAACGGCCGATATCGGACTACTATAGCATATAGCTGCCATACAAACTGAACAATCGGAATCAAGTACTTGTATGGGAAACTGTTTTTTTTGACGTCATATCTTCACGAAATTTGGCATGAGGTATTTTCTAAGTCAACTATGTAATCTCCAAAGAAACTGTTTAGATCAGATGACTACAGCATATAGCTGCCATATTAACCGAACGATTGGAGTAAAGTGCTTGCATGTAAAATTTTTTTATTTGACAAGGTTAGGTATTCGTAATGAATGTTGCATACCATTTTCGCCAACTGTTGCTCTAGAGTGGTGAGTGCGACTCTTGACGCCCAAGACGTCGCCCCATATGTGATCATTGGTTTGACTGTCATTGCGTCCAGCGTAGTATGACCCTTCACACCATTGGCGCTCTGGTGGCTTTCGCAGAATGAGTTTTGAATCTAGTACAAGGCCTAGATATGTTAAGTTATTTTCTGTTAAGCCCAGGTTTACGCACCTTCGTTTTGCTAGATTTCCTCTTGCTATAATGACAATGTCGTCTGCTTAGCCTTTCGAGATAAGCAGATTAAGAAGCGTATCTACAACCAGGCTCCGCAGCAAAGGTTACAGCACTCCACCTTGCGGGCATCGCTTTGTTGTTCCTATTTTGATGCTACCTGAGCCTATAATTGTTTCAGCGATTCTTGTTCTGAGATACTACCACTTCTCCGTTTACAAAAGCATCCTCTTTGTCGACTACAGAGCAGTGTCCGTGGACCTACCCGCTCTGTATGCGTGCTGGTTTGGATGCAGTGTATTTCGTTCCAGCGTCGTTGCTCTGATGTGGTGATCCACTAGCTTTTCTATGCCTTTCTGATCCCTTCTTTCTTCTTTCGGTAAGAAGATAACTAGTACATTTCTCCACTTTTTGAGGATATAACCTGCGCAAGGCCGCCCCCATTAATTTTACTATAATTTTACGATACTTTAAAAATTACCTGAAATTAATGCGTCTAGACTAGAATATCCTCTTAATTTAGAAGAGCCTGATGAATACAATTATTAGCGTATAAAAAAGGCGGCTGTTTCAAAATCCTGATTATCAGTTATATGGGGATAACGCAAGTTTTACCCGATCGCCAGCACATCGGCTGATATTTGTGAGAGACTAAGGAAGTATTGACCCGATTCAGCCCATTTTGACAGAAGCTATATTATTATCAAAGAAATATTTTTTCGAATTTCAATAACATATCGCTCAGATTGATCGATATTTTCGTGCAAAAATTAGCCGTACGCACTGGGGTCCACATATTCGGTATGTGGGGCTTGGACAGTTATGGTACGATTTTGACAACCTTTAAACTCGAGATGGCATTGATAAGCCATGTTCGTCTATATAGTCCCTTAGCTTTTAAGCTATCGACTTGAAATTATGCACCTGTCCTTTCCTCACTAAGAAGCTGCTCATTTGTCGGAACGGCCGATATCGGACTACTATAGCATATAGCTGCCATACAAACTGAACAATCGGAATCAAGTACTTGTATGGGAAACTGTTTTTTTTGACGTCATATCTTCACGAAATTTGGCATGAGGTATTTTCTAAGTCAACTATGTAATCTCCAAAGAAACTGTTTAGATCAGATGACTACAGCATATAGCTGCCATATTAACCGAACGATTGGAGTAAAGTGCTTGCATGTAAAATTTTTTTTTATTTGACAAGGTTAGGTATTCGTAATGAATGTTGCATACCATTTTCGCCAACTGTTGCTCTAGAGTGGTGAGTGCGACTCTTGACGCCCAAGACGTCGCCCCATATGTGATCATTGGTTTGACTGTCATTGCGTCCAGCGTAGTATGACCCTTCACACCATTGGCGCTCTGGTGGCTTTCGCAGAATGAGTTTTGAATCTAGTACAAGGCCTAGATATGTTAAGTTATTTTCTGTTAAGCCCAGCGTTTACGCACCTTCGTTTTGCTAGATTTCCTCTTGCTATAATGACAATGTCGTCTGCTTAGCCTTTCGAGATAAGCAGATTAAGAAGCGTATCTACAACCAGGCTCCGCAGCAAAGGTTACAGCACTCCACCTTGCGGGCATCGCTTTGTTGTTCCTATTTTGATGCTACCTGAGCCTATAATTGTTTCAGCGATTCTTGTTCTGAGATACTACCACTTCTCCGTTTACAAAAGCATCCTCTTTGTCGACTACAGAGCAGTGTCCGTGGACCTACCCGCTCTGTATGCGTGCTGGTTTGGATGCAGTGTATTTCGTTCCAGCGTCGTTGCTCTGATGTGGTGATCCACTAGCTTTTCTATGCCTTTCTGATCCCTTCTTTCTTCTTTCGGTAAGAAGATAACTAGTACATTTCTCCACTTTTTGAGGATATAACCTGCGCAAGGCCGCCCCCATTAATTTTACTATAATTTTACGATACTTTAAAAATTACCTGAAATTAATGCGTCTAGACTAGAATATCCTCTTAATTTAGAAGAGCCTGATGAATACAATTATTAGCGTATAAAAACTTAATAGAAAGAGCTCTTCCCATATAAAAAATTTATTTGGAAATTTACCAACACGATAATACACCGATTTACATTGCCTGGGTGATTAAGGCGACGAAAACTTTAAACCTGAAGTATGCTAACTTGATGAAGGGCGGTTAATGTGGCAAGAATTGCTATCCACATTTGCACAGAATGTTGCCCAGGTATACGAGTTCAGATGATGCTCAAATGATTCGGATTGTTGGTTACGGCTACACAGCTTGAATTGAGATGGTGTATGCAAATTCCGTATGGTTCAACAAACACGGTGCCAACTCAGTCAAGATTTACATGGACTGAATTTTAAATGAAAATTAGATTTAATCTATTGGCTTCTTCTGGTCGAAAAACAAATATAGAATACATGTCATGTCACGGTCGCCAAATTATATTTCAGCCAAAAACAAAAACAAATCCACAATCATAACACTCCTAATACTCTCTTAATAATGTTTTTACTATTTTACTACAAGGGGTTTCATCAGGCCTGCGTCTATTGCTTCATATTGGAATTTTTCACATTAGCTATGTAAGTTTGTGTGTAAATGTTTATGCGGACGTGGGTAGGGAAAGATGTATGTTTGTGTGTATGTATACAGCTTTCAGATTTTAAAAGTGGGCGTGGTCCCGCCTCTAATAGGTTTAATGTGCATATCTCCTAAACCGCTAATGCTATAATAACAAAATTCACTGGAAGCAAATGTTTTTAGAACTTCTATTGACGGTGTGAAAATAGTTGAAATAGGGTGACAACTCCGCCGACTCCCCATATAACGGTACTGTTAAAAACTACTAAAAGCGCCGAT